CAGGGGTCGAACCCATGTCTCTTGCATTGGCAGGCCAATTCTTTACCACTACCACCAGGGAGGCCCTATTTTTTGTTTTTAATATACGATAGTAATGTTAGCTTTGTAGAAAAAACATTGGATGGATTCTACCCAAGAATAAATTCTACAAATCAGATACTCAGGGCAGTATTTTTCAAATGATGCTCTACAAGGCAGTAAGACTTCTAAAGAACACTCTTACAAGCTTCCTCAAGAAGAGGTTAGTAGATCATAATAATTGATTAATACTTACTGAGCTTTAAATCTTTTTTTTTGTTTTTGCCATCCCACATGGTTTGCGGGATCTTAACTCCCCAAGCAGGGACTGAACTCTGGTCCCTGGCAGTGAAAGTGCTGAGTCCTAACCACTGGACTGCCATGGAGTTCCTAATATTTGCTAAACTTTATTAGAACATAGACCAAGCCCTAGGCTGTGTCTTGGGTTGCATTATCTCAGTTGATTCTCCCAGTTACTCTTTGATAGGTACTACTGTCATCCCTGGCTCACAGATGAGGAAGCTGATGCCCAAAGAGGTCACTCAGCTAAGTAAGACTGAGTGGGATTTAGCCTCCGGGCTATTTGACTCAGGAGCCCGCGACCTTTATGGGAAAGGTTATAGGTACCCTCCTCCCCACCTCTTGGCTAATCATACACCCCCTCCATCAGAACTGAAATTCAGATTTTGCTCTTATGAGACACAGTCTGGGGAACGGGAACCTGTACATTGTTGGTTGGGGGTTGGGAGAGAGTGAATTAGAGAGTGCCACACTTTGACCTCCTTCTCTGCAAGTCTTGGAGCTTTGCCTCCTATTGTGCTGGGGCGTTTTAAAATGCATTCTGATGAATGTGGTCTGCTCTCTTGGTACACAAGGGGGAGCATTTAGCACAGGAATGGGAATAAGATCGCTGCAAGGAGAGAGTTCTTGTTCTTTGTGAGAAAGAGTTTCTCTTTCTCTTTCTCTCAATAGGATTTTCTAAGAACGAAGACAGTTTTCTACCTAATCCCAATATTGTTATTATGATGTCCAAGAAATTAATATTGATGAAACCACATAATCTATATATAACTATCTATATCCAGATTTTTCCCAACATTGCCAAGATGCCCTTTATTGCTTTCTCTTTCTAAAAATTCTTCCGTTTTTTTTTTCCCATAAAATGTTTATTTATTTGGCTGCACCAGGTCTTAGATGTAGCATGTGGGATCTTCGATTTTCATTGCAGTATGTGGGGTCTTTAGTTGCAATATGCAAACTCTTAGCTGCAGCATGTGGGGTCTAGTTCCCTGATCAGGGATTGAACCTGGGCTCCCTGCATTGGGAGTGCATGGAGTCTTAGCCACTGGACCACCAGGGAAGTCCCTCTTTTGCTATTTTTGATCCAGAATCAATTTTCTATTCTCTTAATCCTAGACCATAGTCATTTTTCTGAAATATTTTGGTGTAAAATGTTCATGATTTTTCCTGACTCTTTACTATTCCATGAAGCTGATTTGCTGTGATTTATTAATAAATTTCTCTTCAGTTATTCCTGTTAGAAGCATGACATGGTGTCATGTGGGACTTTTCCTTTCTCAGTTTTGACTCAGGTACCGATTCAATAGGTATCAGATTGCAATTATATGAGACTGATAATCATAGATGGAATGTGTCAAGTGTCACAGATCAGGTTCCCTGATGAAGATTTCTGTACAGGAGGTTTATTGAGAGTGCTGGAGATCAATACCTATGGAGGAATAAAGGAAGTTGGGACTGGGCTGAAGGAATAGTTGAACTTCAACCCAGTCACTACGAAGGCCTCAGCCAGCCCTCCACTGGCTCTGGAGCTAAGATCATCTTGCAGAATTGTTCTGTACTGGGGCGAGGAGATCGGGTCTTTTTACCTCTCCAGGGACCAGTCATTGGATGCGGCTTACCCCTGGGAAGTGGCCATGACCTTGGGTGAAGTAGTTAGCTTAGATCAATTTTCAAAGAGACTCAGGGTGACAATGAGGGCCTCAGTCCTGTGGGCAGAGACCACAGCATCTACTATACCAGGGGAATTCTCATGAATCTGTCATGCAAGTCCTAGATTCCTGCAGCCAGACCGAATGCACAGGTGTGTGTGTGTGGAGATGAGAGGAGGATGGGAGGAGGCAGAGAGAGCATTGCATGCTGGGACTCCTCCCTCCATCCCCAGAGGAAAGACAGTGTTCTACCTCCTTTTCTGAAAGTATATGATGGGGGCTTCCTCAGGTCCACATATTGAACTTGAAGTACTTTTTTCTATAATTGGAGACAAAGAAAACCAGTTGGGTGGCCTGTGGCCGCAGGACACAGAAGGTGGTGTTTGGTCCTGCCCTCCCAGGGTTTGTTGGAGCAAAGGATGAGGGAGGGTTTCCTAGGACTCAAATGTAAGTCACTTGGGAGAGAATTAGGCTAGAGTTATTTAAAAAAAAAAAAATATATATATATATATATATATATATATATATATGTTTTTAAAAAGCCTCTAAGAGTTACAAAAAGTTGCAAAACTAAAACAGAGAGTTCCCATGTGCCTTCCACCCAGTTTTTCCCCAGTGATAGTTGTATTTTCAAAACTAGGAAATTGACACTGGTACAAGGCTATGAACTAAACTACAGACTTTTTTGGTTTTCATCCATTTTCACATGCACTTGTATGTGTGTGTAATACACTATGCAATTAAAAAATTATTTTTTATGTGGACCAGAGACTTTTATTGAATTTGTTATAATATTGCTTCTGCTTTATGTTTTGGTTTTTTGGCCCCTGAAGTATGTGGGGTCTTATCTTCCTGACCAGGGATTGAAACCACCCACCCCTGAACTGGAAGGCAAAATCTTAACCATTAGACTGCCAAGGAGGTGGGGAATTTAATCACATGTACAGATTTGTGATTTGTGTATCACCATCACAATCAGGATATTGATTTACTAGTAAGAAGCTCTCTCACCCTACATCTTTTCAGTCAGACCCTTTCGCCAACCCTGTTCCCTGGCAATCACTGATCTAGTCTCCATCACTATAACTTTATCATTTCAAGATTGTTACATATTAGGATCATGCAGTATGTAACCTTTTGAGATTGGCTTTTTTTCACTAGCAGAAATAACAGCCTGAGTTCTAGCCTTGTTGTTGCGTGTATCAATAGTTCTTTATTTTTTATATCTTAGTAATATTTAATCACATACCTATACATAGTTTATACATTCCCCACAGGAGTTATTTAAGTCCTGCCAATTGGACTTTCTCAGGGGGTGAGAGCAACTCAAATGATGAAGTTTGAACAGAAAGGATTGTCAGGGAACCAGGGGCGCAGTGGGTAGTGGCAGCTGGGATGGAATGCTTCATACGTCTCCCTTGTCCTGAGAATTAAAACTGGAGAGGTCCCCAGAGATGGAGATCTCCAAAGATCCCATGAAAAAGTGCACAAGCAAGAAGCAGTTTATAGCTTCAAAGTCCAGTGAACTTACGACAGTGCCAGTCACAAGCCAATTAAAGTATTTCCAGACATAACCATTTACCTCTGTCACTTTGACATGGGATCCAAAACAGCAGTTAGTGAGTGGGGGAGGAAATGCGACAGAGTAGTGGAAGAGAGAAGAAATTGCGTAGGAGACCCCCTCCTCCCCTCCTCCTCGCACTGAACTGCTGGCTCTATCTGGGAATGGGGGAGAAAGTGCTGGGATGAAACTGAATTGCTGATTAATATAATGACCTGACACATTGAATTACTCTATTAAGACCATGTTTGTGACTTGATGTGGCATCAAACTGTCGTTACTTGGAAGTGGCCAGAGCAGATGAGGTCCAGCAATAGTTGTCATCTAGAGTCAAGGACAAGCTCCTTTCTTCCTCCTTACTGCCCCTCTCTCCAAATGAGTTCATTTTAGAGGGATGCTGGGAGAAAAACAAAATATATTTTGATTATGTTTGCCAGCAGTTACATAAATAACTTGGAAATAAACATCTTTTATACATAAGTAATTTTTTTCTTTTACAGTATAATTTCTTTCTAACAAACTCCTGGAAATGGGGTTTGGATATTTTTATGGCATGGGCATGGATATTTTTATGATTCTCAAAACGTATTTCCAAATTGCGTTTCTAAAGTTTTGTACCAACTTACATTCCCACCAGATAACACGTGGAAGTTTAGTATTATTAGATTGTTAGCCTAATGATGTTTAAAGGCTATTTCATGTTTGAAATTGAAAAAAAAAATATTCTGGATATTAACTCCTTCTCAGATGCATGATTTGCAAATGTTTTCTCTCATTCCATAGGCTGACTTCTCACTCTACTGATTCTGTCTTTTCACTCACGTGAGTTTGAAGTTTGATGTAGTCTCATTTGTCTGCTTTTGTTTTTCCTGACTGTGCTTTTCGTGTCACGCTCAGGGAGCGTGTCACGCTCGGCAATGGCCGAGGCCAGGGTCACAGAGCTTTGCCCCTGTGTTTTCTTCTAGGAGTTTCACAGTTTCCATTTTTTAGGTCTTCGATCCATCTTGAGGTAATTTTTGTGTATGGTGTATTCTAACTTCATTCTTTTCCCTGTGGACATCTACTTTCCTCAACACCATTTATTGAAGAAACTCTTCTTTTCCCCTTTCACAACAGACTGTGGAAAATTCTTGAAGAGATGGGAATACCAGACCACCTTACCTGCCTCCTGAGAAATCGGTATGCAGCTCAAGAAGCAACAATTTAGAACCAACAGACGGGTTCCAAACTGGGAAAGGAGGACGTCAAGGCTGTATACTGTCACCCTGCTTATTTAACTTCTATGCAGAGTACATCATGCAAAATGCCAGGCTGGATGAAGCACAAGCTGAAATCAACATTGCAGGGAGACATATCAATAGCCTCAGATATGCAGATGACACCACCCTTATGGCAGAAAGCGAAGAGGAATTGAAGAGCCTCTTGATGAAAGTGGAAGAGGAGAATGAAAAAGCTGGCTTAAAACTCAACATTTAAAAACCTAAAATCAAGGCATCTGGTTCCATCACTTCATGGCAAATAGATGGGGAAACAATGGAAACAGTGACAGACTTTATTTTCTTGGGCTCCAAAATCACTGCAGATGGTGACTGCAGCCATGAAATTAAAAGACACTTGCTCCTTGGAAGAAAAGCTATGACCAACCTAGACAGCATATTAAAAAGCAGACATATTACTTCATCGACAAAGTCCTGTCTAGTCAAAGCTATGAGTTTTCCAGTAGTCATGTATGGATGTGAGCATTGGACCATAAAGAAGGCTGAACGCTGAAGAATTGATGCTTTTGAAGTGTGGTGTTGGAGAAGACTCTTGAGAGTCTCTTGGACTGCAAGGAGATATAACCAGTCAACTGTAAAGGAAATCAGTCCTGAAAATTCGTTGGAAGGACTGATGCTGAAGCTGAATCTCCAATACTTTGGGCACCTGATAAGAAGAACTGACTCATCGAAAAAGACCCTGATGCTGGGAAAGACTGAAGGCAGGAGGACAAGGGGATGACAGAGAATGAGATGGTTGGATGGCATCACCAACTCGATGGACATGAGTTTGAGCAAGCTCCAGGAGTTGGTGATGGGTAGGGAAGCCTGATGTGCTGCAATCCATAGGATTGCAAAGAGCTGAACACGACTGAGGGACTGAACTGAACTGATTAGCAACCTTGTCAAAAATCATCAATTGTTGTATATTTTAATTGATGGAAATATATGAATAATAACCAGATCAAAGAATTCTTTTGTAAAGTAGACTTGGGGGCAAATAATGACTTATTGAATGAGGTGGTGATAAAAAACACAAAAATGTGAATAAAACTCGAGACCATTGGATGGAGACCTAGTAACATCTTTTCTTAAGTTGTCATCAGTGCCAAGGGGAAAGTTGATTGACAGTCTAATTCACCAAATTAGTGATTACTGAGTGCCTACTATACAGGCATTAACCAGGCCAAGGGAATACAGTTGTGCATAAGAGACCAGTCCCTGCTATGTGTGTTTCTATATTGAATCTCATTTTCCATTAGCAGCATCAATAAAAATGTGTGTGCCTGCCCTCCCTCTGCTAGGAATTTGAAGAGGTAAAAGAGACTGTGAGATGCTGTCCATGCTCTTAAGAGCCCATGTGAGCTTGTTCTTACCAAGGTCCCAGATCACCTTCATGCCCACTGCTCTTTGCTAAGGGCTAATACCTAGTGACCACTGGAAAAACCATAGCCTTGACCAGACGGACCTTTGTTGGCAAAGTAATGTCTCTGCTTTTTAATATGCTATCTAGGTTGGTCATGACTTTCCTTCTAAGGAGTAAGCGTTTTTTAATTTCATGGCTGCAGTCACCATCTGCAGTGATTTTGGAGCCCCCCAAAATAAAGTCTGACACTGTTTCCCCTGTCTCCCTGAAAAATTGATGCTTTTGAACTATGGTGTTGGAGAAGACTCTTGAGAGTCCCTTGGACTGCAAGGAGATGCAACCAGTCTATCCTAAAGGAGATCAGTCCTGGGTGTTCATTGGAAGGACTGATGCTGAAGCTGAAACTCCAATACTTTGGCCACCTCATGTGAAGAGTTGACTTGTTGGAAAAGACCATGATGCTGGGAGGGATTGGGGGCAGGAGGAGAAGGGGACAACAGAGGATGAGATGGCTGGATGGCATCACCGACTCAATGGGCATGAGTTTGAGTAAACTCCCGGAGTTGGTGATGGACAGGGAGGCCTGGCGTGCTGTGATTCATGGGGTCGCAAAGAGTCGGGCACGACTGAGCGACTGAAATGAACTGAACTGAACTGAACTGAATACCTAGTGAAACTGATGCATTTTGCTTGGAGAATGAAAGGGATGAGGGCTTAAAGGCTGGGACTTGTGTCCAGATGTCTGAAGGAGTCCATGTTCCATCTGAAGCTGCTCTCTGTAGGGCTATTTCTTAGGGTCTCCCCAGACACATCCCACTTTAGTTGAAACAAAAATTACTGTCATTTCAATACCCTAATGTTCCATTCAAGACACACAGGAAATAGGGTTGAAAGAGAGATTGCTTCTGCAAGCCACAGACTAGCAGATTGAGACATTCAATAGCACTCTCATTTAGGCTGAACAGTGGTGATTGTGTGTGAGTTAGCATAATGCTTTGCTTTGCAGTTATTTGGCAGGTGTTTTATTTCTTTCAAATGGGATAGGTATGCATATATGAATTGAAATCTCTTTTGCATTGCTTGTTCTCCTAGTACAACTTCTCTCAGCTTTGTATGATGAAAGGTTTTCAGTATCTTTGGAGAGGAGTATCAAGTTTATATAAGAAACTCAGTTTGTAATCTTCAATATTGTAAACAAATTATTGATGCTTAAGTTTGCTGTCCCTTAATCTGTATTTAGTTTTCCTTTGTAATGTAGGTCCAGCCACTTTTTTGTTTATTTATTAATTTTTTTTTTTTTTACTTTTTGTTTAAAATAAACTTTTACTTTGGAATATCTTGGACTTACAGAAGAGTTGCAATGTTCCCATATATCCCTTACCCAGTTTCAATTTTCCTTGATGTTAACATTTTGTATGATCATGCATGCTAAGTGCATGCTAAGTCACTTCAGTTGTGTCCAACTCTTTGTGACCCTATGGACTCCTCTGTCCATGGGATTCTCCAGGCAAGAATACTGGAGTGAGTTGCCATTTCCTCCTCCAGGGGATCTTCCCAGCCCAGGGATCGATTCTGCATCTCCTGCAGCTCCTGCACCGCAAGCAGACTCTTGAGTGCTGAGCCACTGCGGAAGCCCATTATCCATGGTACCACTATCATGGCACTTTTACCAAAACCAAGAACCCAGCATTGGTACATTACCATTAACTAAACTTCAGGCTTTATTTGGATTTCACTACTTACTCCATTAATGTCTTTTTCTCTTCTACAGTTCAATTTAGGATACCACCACGTTACATTTAGTTGTTGTGTCTCTTTAGTCTTCTCTGGTCTGTGACAGTTTCTCAATTTTTCTTTGTTTTTTATGACTGACAGTTTTGAGGAGAATTAGGAATGTATTTTGTAGAGTTTTGGGTCAAATCACTTAAAATTTTATTTTATTGCTATTCACCCATACATTGATTTACAATAGTGCAATCATTTTTAGTGCATTATTTTCTGGTCTTTCTAGAGCCCAGAGTTAAAGCACTTCTATTAATAAAGGTAATTTTCTAGGTTGGATAGACCTAAATGGACCCTTGCAGCTGATACAATAATTTTAAAAAATCCAGTGCCCAGAAGGGAAAACTGTAGGTATGTGTCATTGTGACATGATCCAGCATTGGCCAGGTTTATATCTGGTTTCATAACATGGCAATTCTGTTAGTCAAGGTTTTGGAAGGAAAATCTAAAGTACACTCAGCCAGGATTTTAAAGAGGATTTAATGTTTACCCAGGTGAGTCAGTGTAGTGGCTGGAACTTCTATAAAAATGTCACAGATCAGGTGACTTAAAAAGCAGACATTTATTTCTCATAGCTCTGGAGGCTGGGAGATCCAAGACTAAAGCCTTGGTCAAGGTGTTTTTCCTGGCTTGCAGATGGCTGCCATCTTTCTCCTCACAAGGAGAGAGCGAGAGCTCTGGTTTCTTTTTCTCTCTTAAAAGGGCACTCATCCCACCATAGGGGCCCCACCCTCATGAACTCATCTACCCCTGATTACCTCCCAGATGCCCCCCCCCCCCACCAAATACTATCACATTGTGGGTTAGAGCTTCAACATAGGAGTTAGGGGTAGGGCATACACATACAGTCTGTAATAGGCAGGGATAGAGGGAACCGATAGGGATGTCGAGGCTCTTTGGGACTGGAAGCAGAGGGAACCCCCAAGGGATGAAGGAGCAAGGGGAGGAAATTGTACTGTAGGTCTCAAAGCTGCAGATGGTGGTTGGGAGTTGGGCATGGTGCCTAGCAGGAGCTGAAGTGGTAGAGAGAGGAAAACATAGCCAGAATGCAAGGCAGGGAGAGAATGAGAAATATCCAAACTTCTCCTAGCCTCCAGTTCCCAGTTGTTGTCACCCACTGGCCAAACTCAACCAGAATCCAAGGGCAGGGGAGCCTGGACACCACAGTATTTTGGGATCAGCACTCCAGGCCACACAGAAGGGTGGGAAATGGAGGAGAATATGTCTAAATAGTGAATAGCCAGCACCGATACTTAAAAGTATGCCTATTTGACTCTATTTCGTTACATACATTTTCCTAGGGCAGGAACACCCTCTTTTTAAACTTAGCCTTGATAAAGCAACTGTATTCATTTCCTGGACTTTCCTGGTGGCTCAGTGGTAATGAATCCACTGGCCAATGCAAGAGACACGGGTTTGATACCTGGTCTAGGAAGACCTCCTGGAGAAGGAAATGACAACCCACTCCATTGTTCTTGCCTGGGAAATACCATGGACAGAGGAGACTCATGGGCTACAGTCCATGGGGTCGAAAAAGAGTTGGACACCGATTTAGCAAATGAACAACATACATTTCCTAAGACTGCTTGCATCACAAAGTACCACAAACTCAGTGGCTTAAAACAACAGATGTGAATTCTAGCAGTTCAGGAAGCTTGAAGTCTGAAATCAAGGTGTCATCAGGGCCACACTCCCTCTGAAACTGGTAGGTGAGAATCTTTTCTTGCCTCCTCTAGGTTCCTTGGCTTGTAGATGCATCACTCAGTCTCTGTCTCCCAAGTTAGACTGTTATCATTTCCCTGTATGTTTCTACTTCCTCTTCTTATATGGACGCCAGTCGATTAGGTTAAGGGCCCACCCTATTCCAGTACGACCTCATCTTAAACTATTTACATCTTTGGTGACTCTATTTCCAAATAAGGTCACATTCTGAAGTTGTGAATGGGCATAAATTTTGGGGGACCCCCCCACTACATTTACTACAATTCTTTTTCTTTTTTCAGTTGAGGAGAAAGAGGCAGAAAGAATAACTTGTCCAGGTTACAGAAAGTGACTGAACTGAGTTTAGAAGCACAGTTTAAAACTATTAATTAGCCAAAACATCTTCCTCCTTCCCATTGGCTTGCCCCTTCGCCAGCCACCACTCTTGGACTTTTATTACTTATTTCCTTGTTCAATGACACCTTGGATGTTAGTTGATTTTAATTTTGATGGACAGAAATGACCTGGGCTGTTGCCTGTTGGGCGGAGGGATGGGATGGGATGATGTGTGGGGAAAACAAAATCTCTGTCTCTTGGAGATTTAGTTTTCTTTTTGTTTATAAAATGGCAAAAATGACACATCTCATTTGGTGGTTGTGAGTATTCAGTAAAATCAGTGTGAGAAAGCTTGGCAAAAGCTTCCAAGGCATGCATGCAACTCTAAGGAATTTTTATAGACAATTTTTCAGGTAGAAAAGGGGACATTACTCATGTAGGTTATTGATTAATTTATATTTTTTAATCTCTAAATTGTTGACATGCCTTTAAGTCTTAGATGAACAAGAAACAGAAATAGTGTAGTATAGATATTCAGCATTGCCTGTAATTTATTTCTCAGTTTAGCCTCTTTCAAATAGTAAGTAATTTACTTTCATTG